TCGGCCTCTGCTGGCGCCCAGGTCAACGCCAAGGCCAATGGCAGCGCCAACGCCGCGCCCTGCTGGCTTTGCGCTGCCGCCGCTCGCGCCTCGCCCCGCTTCTGCCGGCGGCCTGGTGGGGCGGGCGGAGACCCGAGGGACCGTGGGGCCCGGGCGGGAGCGCAGCGCCGCCCCAGCACCTGTTGCCGCAGCCGCAGCCGTGGGGGCCTGGGAGAGGGACCTCCAGCCCTCAGGGTCCAGGCACTGAACGTCAGGGAAAGGTGTGGAAGGGGAAGAGGAAGCCTGGCATTTGGGGCACAAGGTCAACAGTATGAATAATTCCAACAACTAGGAACCCGGTTGAGCGAGAAGAACAATAATCTTTCATCTCCATTTTGCAGAAGAAACTAGTGCTCAATGAAGTCAAGTGTCTTTGCCCGAGGTCCCTGAGATGTGAGGGACAGTGAGCCCCACATGTAGGACCTTTAACCCCGGTCAGGGGGTAGAGGGTGGGAGAGTGCACAAATGACCTTACTGCACACAAGAGGTAAGGCCCTACTTCAAATTCTCGGGGGTCCTCTAGAGCAGAGTAAACTGAGGCATCCTAGGTATCCTGTCTGATGGAGCAACAGACTTCCACTTGAATAGCACACAGATATGCCTGTGCACACATGTACACCCCCCAACTCCCCATAGGTATATGTACACTCACAAACACGCTCATTGTCGACCTGACACACTGTACGCACATGCATTCCCACATCCACACTTAGACCCACACTAACACACTCTGTCTCTGTCTCTCTCTCTCTCACACACACATACACACACACACCCCTCCTAGGGGAGGTGACACTGAAGGTCCCTTAGCAAACCTTCCCACACACGCAGCATGTCATTGTCACACCTATCCTCTCCATCCTCATTCTTACCTGTACACCAGACGGGACAGGTCCCACAGTGTCCACGCACATGTGGGGAAGCCAGGCTCACTCCGTCCCTTTCCAGAGCGGATGGTTCCTGTCCAGATTTTAAACAACGGATGTGAAAGGCCAGGCCTTGGAGTGTAGCTGGAAACTGTTACGAGGGCAGGCTCTGGGTCTGGAGGCACTGCCAGATCCTGGGCAACAGAGCTTGGGGGCAGAGACTGACCTCATTCTCTCTCTCTGGTCCTGGTGTCCCAGGCGCTGGTGGCAGCAGGACTAGGTTTGCATACAGGTTCGGTTCTCACAAGCTGTGTGACCTTGGTCAAATTATCTCACCTCCCTGAGTCTGTTTTCGCATCTGTTAACTGAGGGTAATCGGTCCACAGAGTCATGTGAGGATTAAGGAAATTGACCACCATACAGCAGGTACTTAATTTGTTGTTGTTATGTGCAGTCAAGTCGCCTGTGACTCATAGTGACGGTGACCCTATGTACAAACAGCTCTGAAGCCTGCCCTGTCCTGAGCCAGTCTCAGTGACTCTGACATACCTAATCCCATTGCCCCAGTTATCGTGGCAATGTATCTTATCCAGGGTCTTCCTCTCCTGTGCTGTTCCTCCACCCTTCCAAGCATGTTGTCCTTTTTTAAGGACTAATCCCTCCTGGCCACATGCCCAAAATATGTGAGACAAAGCTTCAAAATCCTAGCCTCCTAGGAGAAACTTGGTTTCACCCTCTCCATGACCTATTGTTCTCCTGGCAGTCCATGATATGTTCAATACTCTTCTCTAGCATCTCAACTCAAAGGCATCAAAATAAATCTTAATGAACAAAGTATGATGCCTTTTTGTCTCATCACAGTTTCCACAAGGCCGTGAAGAAGCCTGAAAAAAATCTGCCAATGGGTTGTTGGGGTTTTTTTTACAACTCCTACTATGTGTCTCTGGAGACTAAGGTGCATCTGATACAGGCCATGGTCTTGTTATGCATCAGAGAGTTGGACAATGACCAAGGAGGATAGAAGGAGAATTGATGCCTTTGAGCTGTGGTGCTGGAGAAGAGTATTGAGAATACCATGGACTGCTAGGAAAACAAACAGATTCATCCTGGAAAGGGTTAAACCGGGTGGCTCTTTGGAGGCAAGGATTCTGAGGCTCCATCTAACATACTTTGGACATGTAAGGAGAGACCGGTCCTTGGAGAGGGACATCATGCTTGGGAGGACAGCACAGGAGGGGAAGGCCCTCTATGAGATGGATTGATTTGGTGACTGGGATAATTGGGATGGGAGTGTCAGAGACAGTGCGATTGGCACAGGACAGAGCGGAGTTTAGGGCTGTTGTACATAGGGTCGCTATGAGTCGCAGGCGACTTGACGGCACATAACAACAAAAACAACAACAACTATGTGCCAGTGTGAACAACACAGATGTGGCAGCTCTAGGTTAGTGCTGTGTGCAGGCTCTGGTACTCAGAGTCCCCACCCTCCCCCTCCATCAGTCCTGCTGCCTCCCCAAGTCTGGCCTGGGAGGAGTGGCTCTGAAGAGACCAGGCTCTCCCAAAGATCCTGGTGCCTTGAACCATGCAGGGCTTGTGTTCGCCCTTGTGGATGAAGGGACAGACAATAGCCTGTAGCTCGGAGCAGGGCCCTGAAGGCCCGTCCTGTGTGGCTGGAGGCAGAAGTGTCCTTTCTCTGCTCGCTGTCATGGAGTGGCTGGATCTGGCTTGGAGGGAGGGCTCTGACTCACCATGACGCAGGATGCTTGCTCGGTCACAGCTGCTGATGCTCCCAGATGGCAGCCTGGCAGTTCTGGGGACAGAGGGACAGGGAGGAGGACCCCTGCAGAGAGGACAGGGTGATCCATAAACAAGAGGACGCCTAAGAACCTCCACGTGCCCCTTTCATCCTAAGACAGGAGCAGGTGGGTGACGCAAACCAGAGCCCCCCATCACCTCTCAAATCCAAAGCTCACCAATTCCAAGATAGGGCCACAGTGGAGTGGGGTTTCTGTCTGCTCCAGCCTCCACTGTTTATGTTAGTTCTAGCCTCAAACTCCTCTTGAACAGATTGGCTCAGAGAGATGCAGGGATTTGCCCAAGGTCACACAGCAAATTGCTGGCAGAGCAGGGACTAGAACCCAGGTTTCCTGGCTGCTGGCCTAGCTCTGGCATCAACTTGAGACTGGTTCATGTGGGGCCAGGTAATGCCCTCGCTCCACCTTCTCAGTCCTTGGAATTCTGCTGAAGCTGACAATTCCCAGACAGCTTCAAGATGTGCTTGTCCTTCCCGGGGGCAGACTGTCCTTTCCCAGCTCACCCCACAGGCCATCTGCCCTGTTACTTTCTACTTCCCACCCTCAGCACTGTCCTCTTCCCACCCATGGACAGAGCGAGAACAGCAAGCAGCTAGTGGGTGAGGGGGTCAAGCAGAGAGAACCAAGCCATACCCTCCCACCCCAAATCCCATCCTCCCATCAGGAATTGGGGATCCAGGTTGAGCTCCCACTCCAGTGGTCTGTCATGTTTGTTCTTATTCAATCCACGCACATCACCAGCTCTGAGTGCTGGGCCCCGGGCTGGGCGATGGAGCGTGGAGAAGTGAGGCTGCAGGGTTTGAACGGAGCAAGATTAATCAACGGGAGCCATTACAGTGATGAATCAGACCCAGTCCCTGCCCAGGCGGTCCTGGAGGCAGGAGGGGGAGCCACGTGCATAAATAACTCGGGGTCGGGCTGGACAGCGCCGCATCCCATGCCAGCCAAGTGCTGGGAGAGAAAGAGAGAGAGAGAAAGGACATTGGCTCCCAAGAAGGACTCGGGGTTGGCTGCAAGGTGACTGTAACTCTGGATCCAGGCTTTGAAGGCAGAGTGGGATGTTGGCAGGCAGAGATGATGGAGGGCTCTCTATGCCCAAAGGTGTGGAGGCAGCATACTTATAGGGAACACAGGAGACTGGCAAATATAGGGGGATGGTGGTGCCAGTGGGAGATGGTGACATTTTGGACAGGAACTCCTTTCCCAACCATATTCCTCAAATGTGTCAGGATTGGAGGATTGGTTTTCCCAGGAAAGGCAAGACTAAATAAGCCGATGTAGAAGAAGATTTGAAAGCAGGCAGTGGTGGGCTTGAATCCTGGGCACAGAGTAGTCAATGCATAGTAGATACTCAGTTCATGTCTGGATACATGTGGGACAGTGGGACTTACCCCAGCTCACACATCTAGAACTGGGTCTCAGTAAGAACTGGTGGGTTCACACTATCATTCATCCAACAAACATTTCTTGAACACCTACTGTATGCCAAGCACTGCCTGGTGCAGAGATTACAGCACAGAAGAGGCAGATGCGGTCTTCACCCTCTGGAGACTATCATTCTGGTTGAAGAGTCAGGTAGTAACCAGATAATGTTACTCAGTTAACTTTAGAACCAGAGCAGTAAGAAGCTCTAGGAAGAGCTGTGAACATATATAGAAAAGGATTTATTGACCTGGTATCAAGCACTGTTTATAGAGTGAATGGTGTCCCTGCTCAAAAATAGGCGTTGTAAAAAAATGAGGAAAAAAAGTGTTGTGAATACAAACCCCTATACATATGGAAAAGAGCCCTGGTGGCTCAGTGGATTAAATATTGGACTGCTGATCAAAAATGTGCTTCAAATTCACCAGCTGCTCTGTGGGAGAGGGATGAGACAGTCTGCTTCTGTAAAAGACAGTTGTTGTTGTTGTTGTTATGTGCCGTCGAGTCGTTTGCGACTCATAGCGACCCTATATACAATAGCCCTAAACCCTGCTCTATCCTGTGCCAATCACATAGCCTCTGACACACCCATCCCGATTACCCCAGTCACTGAATCAATCCACCTCATAGAGGGTCTTCCCCTCCTGCGCTGTCCCTCTACTCTTCCCAGGATGATGTCCCTCTCCAAAGACCTGTCTCTCCTTACAACATGTCCAAAGTATGTCAGACGAAGCCCCAGAATC